GCTAGAACCAAGCATGCAAGGAGGAAAGATACTGCAAAATCTGCGACTATGAGTCAGCAATTCACGTCCACATCCGACAAAACGCATAAGAAATTCTACACATCGGACCTTCGAAATTAAACTAGCGAAAGACAATAGCAACCAAGGGATCTTACGTAGACGTCATCAATGGTGACGGAAGGCAGGAGATTTTTCGCCTCAACTCGAAAGCCTTGAATAGGGCTAATGGTAGAATCAACGGTGCTGCCCTGTGCTAACATGCCTGCTCCCGTGGGTTTATTTTCTACAGTACGCGTCAATGGCCTAGATGTAGAAATCGCCGAGGAACTCCATTGACGCGTTAAAGGGATCTGAGAGGGCGAAAATTATGACTCAGATGGTTGATAGCTTAAAAGAGGAAAAACCAAAAATATGTGACCAAGTCAAATTACCGGATTCACACCCCTAAAGTATTCATTTGTGATCTATAAAGAGAGGTAACTAAGATTAACATCAACGAAAAAAGCAAAATCTAAGAAAAGGCACATGCAACTATTGAAAATTCATTCCAATGAAGAAACAGATTCTAAGCCAATGTCAACTTACAGTTCGTCTGGGAATCAGAAAAGGCACATTTACTTCCCGAGTTAAACCAGGCCTAGAAACTTGAATGTAATTTTTTAGACGTCTGCTAAACTGCCTTTTTTGCATCAGTAGTCTGCGCGCATCAATCCGCCTGGGAGCTCCCCTGAGATTGTTTAGAATTTTAATGCGAAGGTCGGTAGACATATTTTGTCTCCTTATATTCATTCCATCTTCTCGATTACTACCCAAACGATCCCTTTAAATGCAGTGATGTATACTTAATTGTTACTTTGCGGGCTTCCTCACCAAGCGCTTTTCGAACGTGTCTTCCACCATCAAGTATAAATGACAAGTAAGGCCAGCGAGTACGGGCTGAGTGTGGTACAAATATATTTACATCATATACAATATCAACTTCCACGACAATGGAATGACTTGATGCTTAATCCAACACTTCCTTATCAATTTTTTGAAACAGATTTTAAATAATTAACACTAATAAAGCCTAAAGTTACAGTTTTGCTTAGCAATATGGGTCGATATATTAATTTACATGTGAAAATTTTGCGAATTTTAGTTCTCGGGGTCAAGTGAGAAAATGCTAAATTCGTTCCTTAAGAAATGCATTTTTTAGGTTAGTATGCAAATGTATTAGGGATTTTAGAAATGGAAAATGGCTGGGAACTATATTGTAATACGATAG